AATTTATAAATTACAAATATATGTTATAATTTAGATATATTTTTATATTTTAAATATAAATATAAATTATAATTTAGAATTTATGTTTATAATTAGAAAAGGCAGTGACTTCAACATGTCCGTTGCACTGTGAGTAAATACTCAGGTTTTATTTTTACCAATGGCCACAGCATTTTTCCAGGGTCACTTCTATGCTGGTGTGCAGAATGATTTTTTTAATCTGTGGCAGTTGTATGAGAGCTACAGCATTAGTGTTTTGGTGCTCTTCCTTTTCCTGTTTACTGCTGAAAGTCATGGTATCCTCATTCAGCTTTCATCAGGAGAGATGCCAGCAAGGCATGTGAAAACCTAAGCTGATGCTGGTTTACACCACTTACTTTCTTTTTTAGTCTCTTAAAAGCAGGCCTCTGATTTACCTTCCTGCAAAGGTCATCGCCTAGGTGATGAAAGGTTTGGCAGAGGAGGGAGGACTTGGCAATTCACACGTGCAAGTTTATATGAACAGTAAAACCGTTTGAGCCCTCTCACCCTTCAAAGCAGTGTGCTACTGTCAAGACCCATCTCTTTGCAATCAGAACACAGCCACATATGTGTCCACTTGGCTCACTTTGCAGAGAGCACTGCCACGGCCACCGGCCTGGGCGACTGGTCCTACCGCCAAGGATCCTCTTGGCCATGCGAGCAGCTGGGCGACGGCCGCAGTCTAGTGAGGAAGAGGGGCAGAAGGGAGTTAAGTGTCACCACGAAGCCAGCGTGCACAAGACCTTCTCCAAGAAAACTGGGCGCAGAACAGCGCTGTGAAAGTCAGGAAATTACACAAATGAAGCCATCCAAACCCACACAATAACAGCAAACACCCCAAGCCATTTGCATCTTTCTTTCCATCGAAGCATTTGCTCTCCTGATACTAACTCTGACCAGCTCAGCCTGAAATATTAACCAAACTAAGTTTGGGATCTCGACCTCCTTTCTCTCAGGAGTTACCAGGCTGCCCTTGGGAGGGTTTCCTGGGTTTGTGTCCTTCTCTCTCTGTCAGCTAGCAATGTGTTTGGGCTACTTTGTCCTCTCCATAAGAAATGCTTCTGCAGTACGTGCTCAGCAATAATAAGGCTTTTCCTAAGCCAGGTGTGTGGTGAATGTCACACTGTTTACTCAGCTACATGGCATCAAATTTGCTCTGCCTGGGGAAATTACTAAAGGAGAGCTTTTGAAGATTTGGAGACATTCCAGTACTCTGTCCATTGTATTTTATAAGACACTTCTACTGGAAATTATACCTGATTCCCATTTGTCAGACAGTCACTTTTCTGGAAGAGTTAACCCTTCAGTTTTGTTTCACTTTATATTCTGGATTTGTAAGAGAGCAGACTTACTATTTATCCTATTTATGCTCAGTCTGATTTAGAGAACAAAAGAACACCATCAGTTTCTGCAATCAGCCTCCCAAGGGAGGATATTCTGCCATTGCATATACCCATGGGAATTTAGTGATGAGGAAATAAATTGCTTATTTGTAACTTGCAATTCTACAGTGTTCACAACTTCAGAGGGCAAGGGGTTTCAAGCGTACATAAAGCAACATATCTCAGAAGCAAACAGCTTTGACAGGCTCCTATAAGCTTTTTTTTTTTTTTTTTTTTTTTCTGATGAGTAATAAATGTTTGGATAAGTTCCCCAAATTTAGACTTGTGACTAATTTTTCCTTCAACTCCCAGGCAGATAGCCTGCTAACCATGCTGGTGGTAATGAATATTTTCAGCAGTAAGTTTTATCAAATTAATTTTTGGAACCTGACTGCTGACAAAATTCATTTTGTGGGAGCACAACTGGGCTACCACAATGCAGAGCCTCGTAGAAGAAAAGCCTATGAAACTGAATGGAATAAGAAAGTATAAAAGCAATGCAGAACCAGACATTGCAGAAGTCTAATCAAATTTCAGGATGAATCCACACTAAACATCTGCATATGTTAACTTAACACATCTGGAAAAACATCTTTGTTTTGTATTCACTTCTCTCTTACCTTCTTTAGTGCAAATGAGAGCCACTTTGCTTCTGCTTCGACACATCTGTCTAAATATTGAAACAAGAACATGGTGGAAATCTCAATTAATTGATGCGTTTTTTGGTAATTTGCAAATAAGCACAGGTATTGTACTCATTGTTGTGATCCAGCTGCTAAAAATTCCCCCAAAATGTAAAAAGAAACAAAAGGAGCTTCTTATGCCAGATCATACATGGCTTCCAGCATCTGCCTGGAGGTAATTCCAAATATTAGTTCAGCTTTACAATGCATTTCAAGAGTGGGTGCTACATATTTTGCAGCCTACCTCGCTCTCTGGGCACTGATCCAGCTCTGAGGTCAGCTGGGATGTACCCTCTGTCAAATCTTAATTTATAGCACCTGAAAGGACAGAGACTGCCATTCTCCTCCTGCTTACAGCTGAAGGATAGAATTTTCTTTGAAATACCTTTGATAAGAGGTATCTCTCCAGTCCTAAAAATTTGGGTGTTTTGAAAAAAAATCCAGAAAGTTTGCGAAAGTAATTATTAAAACAACAAAAAAAATATTTGTTGAAAATTTTCAGATGAGAGAGGGAAGAAGTGATTCTTCGTCAAAGGAAAGGAGATCCTTGTTAAAACATTGTTGCTCAAACAGCTGACTGCCTTTTTATTCCACTGCTTTTTCATTCCTCCCATATAGATGCTTTTCTGAGGTAGATGCAGAGCTAAATTAGACTGGATACACAGATTCCGAGGCAATTCTTTGAAGAACATAATCTCAGTAGGTAGGCAGTGTCTTTAAAAATACAACCACCTAAGGAGAGGCTGCATTTTATTTTAAGTCATAGATACTAATATGGGCACAACTGCAGAGTGGCAGCAAGCTCACCAGATTAGCTCAAATCTGTGACCAGACCTCTGTCCTTTAAATTGCATATGCCCCAGTCATACCCTGTGCAGATCAGTCTACTTTCTGTTCCTGAAAACACAGACCATAAGATTCTGTTTCTACAGACAGTTGACCAATTTCAGGAAGGAGAATTCTGTGCACAATTTGGAGGGGCATTTGCACACCATTAAAAAAAATATGGAGAACATAACAGAGACCAGCCACACTCATATTTCACACTCATTCCTTTGCCTTACCAAACAGGCAGCTCTAAAAGAGGTAACTTGAAGCTTTCTTTTATGTGCATAGCTTGCACTGTGCCATTCCATCTTATCAAAACATTATGAAACTGGTGCATTTATTAGTTCTTGCCCAAGTTCCCAGCAGTCCATGAGCCCAACAGCTCCTTTGAACATACAACCCACTCCACAGCACAGACGTTTTACAAGCTGAAGTTGATCCAGATGAATACACCTAGCCTGCAGGGCTCAGGAGCACTTCCCAGCTCCTGGGCTTGTCTTGGCTCCATGTCAAGAAGACACTAAACACATATTGCCCCTGTGCCATTTGCTCTATACTAGAAAGCAAGCTGGGCACATGAGGAGTGAGGCAGGCCTGCAGGGCCTCCAGTGGGATGACTGGGGGTTCACCTGACCTGCAGAGTATGCAGAGCCAGTGAGAGCCATCTAGACAGGATGCCTAACCCAGCCAAAACAAAACCAGCCTCACTCTTCATACAAGGCCTTAGGCTCCTCACTTCTTGTCCATTTTCTGGATTCGAGGGGACTGGAAGATCTGTTCCTACCTATTACTTTAATCTCTGTGGTAGCTTTATCAATAATTCTAATTACTGATGTTTTCTCTCCTTTAACATGTACTTTGGGCAAAACTGGGCCTTTTGCTACTAGATCTTGTAATTCAGATGGCTCCAAATCCATCCCTTCAGATGTGTTTCTTAGCAAACCACTTTCAAACATTGCAAAGTACCTTGAAAATTCTTCTTTGCACTTCATTGACTGAACAGAGTATGACTGTGGACCTGCCTTTGCATCTGGTCACAATCCAATGTGTTTATTCTTGTATTACTCTGGAGAAATGCATTTAGATACCATCAGGCTAGTGGAAAGAGACAGTGAGAAAGGAAGAGCTAAAAAGAAACTTTTCAATCATCAGGCACTATTCTGTAATGGCCCTTCTTCTAGATGAAGAAATAAAAATGAACTTAAATGACTGGGAAAAATACTAATGTAAAACAGAACTAGTACAAAGCTAAGATGTAAGAAAGCAAAAGCAGGCACTTGCAGACATTCTTTTTAGTATTCTGTCATTACAGAAAAGTTTCAGTACAGAAAATAAGAGAGTCAAGCAAAAGATAAGTTTGGGTAGTCCTTAGATTTCTGTCTTTACACATGTTATAACTCTGCATTTAGCCAAGAGAGTCTTTCCTTGTGAAACAGAAGGATTTTCTGTGGAAGTAGGATGTTCTGAAATCTCCTCAGCATTTGAAAGAGAACAGGTAAACAACGACTCCACTTTTTGAAGTTGCAGATGGAAATTAGGTGGTTCTCCTGGTTTTGTCCTGTTCATTGGCTCTTCACTCTCAAAGCCACTCTTCGAATGCCGCAACCACAAGATCCTGGCTTCTCATTACTAACTACCTGTTTAGTCACACTAATTAAAAGGAATATACCACCATCTGAAGCCAGAGAGGCTGCTAAGGAAACCTCCTCTAAGTGGATATAGCTTCTACTGAAGAAGCTGTGGTTGCTCCAAACGTTTGAATCCAAACCACATGGTCTGCAGGCTATGATAAGATGCTGCTGCAGGTTTTGTTATATAGCACTTACTGGACTTTCTTGGTCAGCAGGGATTTGATTAAGGGTCAGCTTAAAGGGCACCACCTCTATGTCACTCAAATGGTGTTAGTCTAGCAGAATGGGCCCCTGAGGATTCACAAGGTGGACTCAAAAGAGACAGCTGTAGTAGACACTAAAATCGTTACAGACTGTATCTTAACAACTCACTTGAGTATATGCTGGGATTTAAACACTGATACCCTGGGAAAAAAGAGCTTAGCAAAAGGAGTTTGTCATCCTCCAATGAGAAGTGAATACCCACAGCAGTGAAATAAATCTCATTTACCTGTTACTTACCCATCCACTAGAAGTGCATGTAGAGTGGATGCATTTTTATTCTTCCAATCTGACTGTAGATTCAGCCATTTTTGATGTTGCGTTTCCTCATTCTCTATTACAATTTCTGTTTTGGACGGTCCTCTGAAAAAAATTAAGGACATTCATAGACCTTCCAATAGGTTTCTGTTACAATTATGAAGGTGAAGAGGCCCTAAATGCCTCCCGTTTACTCCGAGGATATACAGCTGAATGTTATGTCAAACCCGTAATGAAGGATCATAGTTAGGGGAATGAAATCACCCCAAGAAGCCAGGCCAGCAAACATATTACTGCCACTTATGTTGTACTTTCTGATAAGAGCCAGAATTAGAATTGGATACAGCAAGAGTCTTCTGGTGGCATTTACTGTAGTGTATACATTGACATACTGTTTCTACAGTTTCTTGCCCCCCAAAATACAAAAAAAATAGATTTGCATATGTAGAAGAGATAAAAGAAAAAAATCTTTTCTTACATTCTCATCTTTGGAAATCCATTAAAATATAACAATAAAGAGCAGTCTGGGTCCTGGACAGTATCTCTAAGTCCAAGCTGTCTACTTTGTGAAACAGAACAAATCAAACCTGTCAAACCTGCCCTTCTGCAGCAAAGTCACAGAAAACAAGTTAGAATGGTTCACCAGGAGATACTTTCATATATCCACTTCCTCAGTTTAGTTATTGCCTGATAGACTGAAGGCACTGAAGAAATTGTTGATTTAGTAAATCTCAGTTGCCAAGTGGAAAAAGAGAGTATTTTTTAAATGGTTTTACAAGTCATGCAACTTTCCAGAACAGAACCATCCATGATTAGCAATCAATCTCTGTCAATTACATGGACTTTCAAGGACTCTTCTCCTGAACACTGGTCAAAAGCCAAATTCTAAATCCTAATTCACCGAAAAGAGAATGAGAAAAGTTCAGAAAAAACTGTGATATGTCCTAAAACTTGCCTGTGAACCCAATCTCTCATGGTAGTATCTAGGAATACCAGCCAGGTTATTAGTTTGTCTTTAAGTAAAATTTTCAGTACTAACTATATTTCTTTTTAAATATTTACAAAAGTGTAGCATCCTTTACCCACTTGATTGTATAAATTAACAATGATCAAAGAACTCTGTTTTATGGCAAAGATGTCAGTGCAACCATATGGCAATGTTTTCAACAGGGCTGGCAGAATTAACTAGGCTCTGAGGTCACGGTCCTGGATCCTGCCTGCTATATGACTTATTTTTCAGAACCTTCTCTGGGCATATTAAGCAAATACCATTCCATGATCTACTACCCAGAACATGCAGGCAGATATTTACATGTATTTTTAAAGCACATGGTTTTCCCACATTTAGAGAAAGCTGTTTGCTGGAAAAAGACCTTTCTTCCTCAGTGCCTGCTTATAACACATAAAACTCACTTCTCTTCACTGCTATCACTTGCTTATTTCCCACTTTTTCCCACCAAACATACACAAACATTTTTTCCTTAAGATGACATTCTGCCTTTTGATCTTCTGTGAACAATTACATTCATCATTTCATAACTGTGTACAGTGATATTTTATGTAGCTATAGTGTCTGATCTACAGAACACATAACTCAAAAAATATGGAAAAAGGTGCAAATATCATGTCATCTGATGGATCCAAATCTGTATTATCCCAAACAGCAGATTATTTTGCTGAAACCTACAGTTCTGAATTACAGCTTTTGATGCTATAACCATCTTTAAGCAGATACATACTTCTAAACCACAGCAACAACCTACAAGACATTTAAGCCTGTAGGAGATTTTATAATTATTAATTCAAGGTATTATACCTAGTAAAATTATGGCATGGACTAGATATTCTCCAGATATCTGTTACAAGGGGGATTTTATGATTCTGTTGCACAGTAAAGATACACTGTAGCGACCAGTACCTATGCTGAAAAGCTTAATCATAAAAAAAGCTAAGTTACTAGGACAGATTTTTCACACATAAGAGCATCTTTTAACATTACAGTACAGTCAATGAAATAGCTACATTACTTAAGTAAATTTGTTAGTGATATCTGCAAATGTTAAGATATTCATATCATGGTATCAATAATGCACACCTTTTGAGTGGTGATCTTTGGACCAGATCCTCCACCAGGAATTCAAGATAACTTACAAATGCTACCTGAATCCTCATGACTTTATGACATCTCATGGTGCTATCTGAATGGAGCCACCAAGCTTAGTGGTAAAAGACAAGTGTGTCTTTCACCTAGATTTTGATTACATCCTCTGTACTGTTTTCAAGAATTAAATGGGATTAGGACCTATGAAAAAAAAATCTTTCCATGAGGCTTTCTTTCACTAAACAGTTAAGTAAACCAGTCAACTATCAGAAAAATCAGCCAAAAGAAATTTTAGGAGGTCATCTGATTCATTCCCCCAATCCAAACAAAGATCAACCATACCTAAATTCTGACAGATTTTTGTCTGCCACATTTGTAAAAAGTCTCTAATGATGGAGAATCCTCAGCATTCCCAGCCAATACATGCCAGGATTTACAGTTAGCAACGGTTTTCTAATGTTTGTTCTAAATCTTCCTACCTGTCATTTAAGCTCATTACTTCTGGCTTATTTCCCCTGGAAATGTAGAACAGCTTATTCCTTGCCTATTTGCAGCAGCCTTTTACATATTTGAAGGCTCCTACATCTCCCTCCTCCTGACTGTCCACTTTTCAACCTTTCTTCATAGACCACTGCTGACCTATTCTGAACTCTCCCCATCTAGTCAAAACCTAACACAAGCTGAACATACCATAGGGATTTGACATAAACACTCCTTGTTAATTCAGGCCATTTCTCCAGTCTGTCAATTTTTGTTTTGTTTTGTTTTGTTTTTTTTATTCTAATCCTGTCCTCCAAAATGCTCTCAAATCCTCCTAGCTTGATGTTCAGAGAGAACCTAGTGAGCATGGTCTCCACTCCATCATCTGAATGACTCATGACAATACTGAATATCATCCCAGACGCATGGGGATGTGTCTAGCCCCCCACTGATACATCTTTGTGGTTTGATGATGAATCATCAACAGTCTCGTATCATTTCATCTTTGTCCATATCTCCTTACCTCCTTCAAAAGTCATTTCACTCAGTGTGAAACTTAAAAATGCATCACATCTGCTGTTTCCTTCCTGTCCACAGGGTCTCTGCCTTTTCAACGAATAAATGAAGGGAATTTGACATCATTTATTATTGATGAATATGGTCTGTCTGTCATTAAGACCTTAAACTTCTTGAAGTATTTGTTGATAAATTCAAGCTAGGCAACTGATTTGTAAATCTCTGCGTCTTCCTCTTTCTCCATTTTTAATGAAAGGTGGAATATCAAACAGTTTTCAGCCTTATGTGGTCATTCTCCATAACCTCTCAAAACCACTGGCTACCATTACCGGCAGCCGTAGTGAAGATTTGCCATAGTCAGAAATCTTAAATGCTTTTGGATTAATTTCAGCCAAACTAGCTACTACGAAAAGTGGTGTATAACCTATTATTTTCCTACTCTAGCCCTAATTCTTGTCTTTGCCATCTTAGAAATATAGTATTTTTTGCTGAAGTTTCTTTGTGGTTGGTTTGGGTTTTTTTGCTTGGCTTTGTATTGGTTTGGGGTTTTTTTGTTGTTTTGGTTTGTTTTAGGTTTTATTGTTTGAGAACCTTGGCTTTTCTAATTCTTCCTCCAGACACTTATGCTGTTGTTCTATACCAGTTTTGTAAGTTTGAACTACACCTCTACTCTCTAGAATTCCACTTGCAGTTTCAGGTCACTGTACAGCTTGTGCATCAGCCAAGTAAGTCTTGCTACTTCACAGAAAGGTGTCTGCTAGATCTAATGAACACCACAGGACATTTATAATTCTAACATATCTAATTTTTGGATCTACAAAGTTTCCTTTAATCCAAGGCAATTTCAAAAAATGTCACTCAATGATTCTACAAAATCAGTCACTCATAAAATTAGAAAGGCAATAAATTTTTATTTACAGTAGCACTTACATCTGGGAATTCCTTAGATTTTACTAATTTTTCAAATTTCAATTTAAAAATTAGAATATTTCTTTAACACATTTCATTTCAAGCTATGGATTCCCTTATGTGTGTTTCTAAGAGAGTGATTTTTACAAGTGAAAAAGAAAAAACTATCTGTTGCCTTCTGCATTCCCTGAGACTGGTGGGGTGTGTCCTGCAACCGAGTGTGGGAATAGAGGGATACAAACCCTTCAGGAAAGACAGTCAGGGAGAAGAGGAGGGGGGTTTCCCCCTGTGTCGGTGATCAGCTGGAGTCTTTGGAGTTTGGCCTGGGGATGGATGAGGAGCTGACCAAGAGCTTATAGGTCAGAATTAAAGGGAAAGGAGGGGAAGGTGTTGTCATAGTGGAGAGGTGGGCCCATGCCAGCCTCATGAAGTTCAACAAGGCCAAGTGCAAGGTCCTGCACCTGGGGTTGGGGCAATCCCAAGCACAAATACAGGATGAGTGGATTATGGATTGAGAGCAGTCCTGAGGAGAAAGACCTGGGGGTGCTGGTTGATGAAAAGCTCAACATGAGCCAACAGTGTGCGAGTGCAGCCCAGAAAGCCAACTGTAACCCAGGCTGCATCAAAAGCAGCATGGCCAGCAGGTCAAGGGACGGGATTCTGCCCCTCTGCTCCACTCTCACAAAACCCCACCTGGAGTTCTGTGTCCAGCTCTGGAGCCCCCAACACAAGTAGGACATGGACCTGTTGAAGAAGACCAAGTGGAGGGCAACAAAGAAGATCAGAGGGCTGGAACACCTCTCCTATGAGGACAGGCTAAGAAAGTTGGGGTTGTTCAGCCTGGAGAAGAGAAGGCTCCAGGCAGACCCTATTGCAGCCTTCCAGTACTTAAAGAAGTAGTTTTCAAAGCTAAGAAGTTAATATCCTCTTCATCATTAAAAGTAATATAATTCAGGATACTTCTGTACAGCAATGGTTTTATTATCTCATTCTCCCTATTCCATTGTAAAAATCTCTCAAATATATTAAATTGCAAGTTTTGAATAAAGTCTGATCCATAAACTGGATTCCTTCTCCCTTCAAAGTAACACCAACATTCCTCTGTCCAGCTTCTATAATTCCATTGTTTTAAGCTTTATTTGACAACAGGCTTGAAAAAGTAAGCCTGTCTTATGCCAGAAGGTAATGAATAATGTGTTTACAGGCACTACTATAAAACAAATTAGGCCTATTTCAGAGCTGGAACAGCATCTGTTTCCTGCCTGTACTAACTTACTAACTAAGATGTTCCTTGGTCTTGAGCAGAATCCTATGAAGCCATTGCTGTGCCAAGGAATACAGAGTAAAAGATCAAAACTTTGATTTTAACAGCATTAAAATCAGAGAAATCAAAAATTTTAAGGTGAAAATATATTGAGACATAGAAATTAAAAAGATTCACAGTATTGACAGAGAAGTAAAACATGTATGATTAAACAGTCCTTGAAATTTTTTTGGTGGGAAGTAGGTAATGACCGTGATAATTCCAGGTTTCAAAATGTCTACAGTCTTACATCTCATATTTAGCATCATCTATTCCATGAAGCAGCTATTATTTTGGTGTGCGTGCAATAAGAAATACGCAAAGGCAATTTTTTTTTCTGAGTTCCACACGGAAAACTGTCTTCAACAATTCATTGCTTGTTTATAAAGTGGTAAAAGTGCCTAGATTTTAGTGAGCTGTTGTTCCTGTCATAGTTCACAAAATGTCATTACCTCTTTTCTCTGTGAACCATTTCCACACTAGGTCTAACACTGCAGTGATGATGATCATTCACATCTAACTCCAGGACTCCCATGATCCTAACATTGAAATTCATCAATGCTACAAACTACTGACCTTACCCTAAACCCATCTGATTGCAGGCCAGTCGGCTTAAATTTTCTTGCCATTCATCAGCACAAACATGGTTATCAGCAGCTGACCTGTGGATGGTCAGGAATGTCAAGGAATTCATATTCTTGGATAGTGTAACTGCAAAGAAAAAGAACAACTTCAGTATTATTTCACACAGTTTTACAAAAGGCATACTGAAAACTGAAGAGTTTTCCAATATGCTGGCACTTTTGCTAATTTTATATGCTCCATAGCTATGTAATTTAAAACCAAACTAGCCATGGCTATCCGAACTTTACTAACATTGAACAGCATGAGACACCAAATACTTCTCGAGGATTAAAATAAACCAGAATACTCTTGACTCATCAGCACAGGTTCACATGGATTTCTAATAGTCTTAATCCTGTTAAATTGCATTTTACCCCACAAACAGTCCAACAGAAATCACTAAAGTAATTTGTGGGATAAATGCTGCTTGATGTAAGAGTGATAACCATCATGTGACTCTTGGTAAGATGGGCTGTTCCTATCATAACAATGTGTGGGTGTAATTAGAGAAAGAAAAAACAGTCTGTTTATGAGAAAGATCATGACCATTGCTTCGCTCTTAATCCATGTATAAAAGCACATGAAATGCTTTTACCACACAAAAAAAACTTCTCAAAATGGTCCAAAACATAAATTTATATCACTCCCTTTCTGGGATCCCTTAAAATATGTTGAGTTGTGTGCATTTATTCCAAATACATACCAGTTTTAGTTAAACTGTTCCTCTGACTTTTGCTTTTATAGTACTAATCTTATCATAGCCAGTCATTACACGTTTTTGCTATATGCTGAGGGTGGGTTTGCTTCTAACTTCATCAGAAAGATAGGTATTCATGCTAGATTACTCCTTTTTGAATATACATTTCTACATTAGTAGTTCTCTGCTGCATAGGTTTATTACATGTTGTTGTTTATTACTGTCCATACAATGTTAAATATTTTAAAATATTTATACAATTTACTTCAAAACAAAATAATTATTTCTGCAAACCACACCTTTTTTCTGCATTGAAAATTACATTTCAAAATTTGGTAATATAAACTACTGCATGTAGAGAAATAGCTATTAACTCGCTAAAAACCCAGGGGACATACTATCATTTTCCAATCTTCTTCTTTTCAGTGCTGTTTTTTTGAAATCCACTTTCATTTCTATTTACAGAATAATACTTGGAGGTTTCTACTTGAAGAATATATAAATCATGAAGTCTATTCAGAATATGGATAGCAATAGCAGGTTATATAATTTTGCAGGCTTTTAGCCAGGGCAAAGGGGACCTAGCAGGCCTGTCTTCTCCTGAAAAGCTCTGAACCTGCACCACTGCAGTCTGAGAATTTCACAGTGATTTTCACAAGTATAGAATCAGAGCTTAGAAGTTTTGCTCAAGTGAATTCTACATCTGAATGTCTGCCTACTCTCTCCTCTATCCACAACACTTTCCAGATTTTACACACCATCTACACATTTTACAAGCTCCCTACCATGACACTGTGACACTTCACACTGAGCCTTTCCTTTCTCTTTTGTCCACTTTCTTGCATGCTTTACTAACCTCATCCTAGTCTCCCTTTGTTAATAAAGGGAGTGTCTCTCCACCACCACAACTGCATTCTAAATCAAACCACCAGTGATTCCTACCATCACCCAAACATCTCTTTCAGGCAGTGAACCAAGGTGGAAACTTACCACAGTCCCATTCATCTGAGCTGTCACTGCAGTCTGCTTGCCCATCACACCAGAGCTCACGTAGCACACATTCATGGTTGGCACATTCAAGTTCATTCTCTTCACAAAACGCTGCAAGAACAAACACATGTTTCACTCTAAGAAAGAAATTATCAGTGTGAAGTTCACACTGAGACTAAAAAATGAGAGGGGTGAAGGTAGGCACAGGTCAGATTTAATGGGGCAAGAAAAGTGAGACAGAATTGCATCAAAATTAAGGATGGACATCACTGAGGCAGAAGGTGATTGCTGCCATGCAGTGGCAGAGGGCATTGCAACTCAGAGGGAAGGAAGGGTGTCTGGAAACGGCAAGACCTGTGATTACTTAGTATCACTTCTGGTCTTGTCATAGGAAACCTGTCTAAGCCTCTCACAAGCTTTAAGTGGAAATACTGTGTTCCCCGCTTTTTGGAAGACTGCTCCAAATTTATTTCTTCATGTCCTTTGAAATAAAAAATTTTACTGTAATTCACATACGTATTTCCGTTCAACCATAGCAAATCTATATTCACTTTTGGATTCTCCTTTGCTATTTAAAATCATGAAATTGTTTTTATCTTTTCTTTAGAGATGGGGAACTGATGTACAGACAGACATGCTCCAGTTCACAGTTGGTTGCCAGCTGGCAACATTAGACAGCTGTTTACTGAATATCTGTCCAGTGCAGGAACCACAAGAACTTCTATTCACAAGTGACATTTTGCTTTCCCCCAACCATGACAAACCCCTTCCAAAAGGCAGGTGTGTAGCATTACAGTACCATCCTCACTAACACACTTCTCTTCCAGCTTCTATAAACCCCATCATTATGGAACTTTGAGAGCTGGGGGAAGGCAGAGAGGGAGAGAATGTGTGGAAGAAAGCTGCATTCAGTTGTACCTATGTCTGGCTGTTGTATAGCATCTCTACTGCCATACAAACAAAGCATTTATTTGCAACACTAGTGCAAAAAAATTATGGAAGAACAGATCAGAAGGAAAATCAAGTGGAAATCAAGAAAAAGAGCAGTGAGCAGCCATGCCTATATGGAATGAAGTGGGGAAAAGGAGTCAAGAAACTATAAGGAGTAAAGAAAAGAAGCACAAAGACACAAGGAGGAGGACGGAGAGAAAAAGAGAGGATTGATGTGATCAAGGAGACAGCAAGGATCCAAGGATGTGAGCAACAGAGGACACAAGGTGAGGAGAGAGATAAACCAGTGCCATAGAAAAGCTGAAAAGGAAATTGAGGGAATGACTAAATCTTTCTCATTGTAGAAAACCTTTTAACTTTCATTTATTTTGCACCCCAAGAGCCTGAAAATGTGGCCAGCCTAACAAACTGCATAAACCCTTACAGCAGTTCTTTTCATCCATCATGTCAGGGCAGTCTGGGAAACCATCACAGATCATAGTGTGTTTGATGCACAGCTTCTTCAAAGGGCACTCCCAAAGACCCCTTTCTCTACAGCCTGGAGGCAGAGAAGCATAGTTTTGAAACACATGCATGCAATATCAAATCAACCTTTCTCTTCTTCCTTGGTAATCATGAAACATCCAAAACACTTTCACTTGCAATATAAATTTTAAAAGATATCAAGAATAGTAACTAATGAAGAAATGGAAATAAGATTATCATGATGCACACAATAAATGGGTATAAAATAAAAAAAAATTCATAATACCTTAGTGCTTTTTAAATAATAATCTCTATTATGCTACATGTAAGTAAATGTTTAGGCATTAGCTCAATCAGCTCAAAACTCAAACACCACTGCTCTTGAAATACATTAATATACATTTTTCTAATTCTGAGTTACGTGGAGTTTCCTTTAAAACCATACTACACAGCACTGATGGAGAATCTAACGCAGAGCACAGTGCAAGGCAGAGGGACCACGTTAAGTATTGACTACAGTTTTCCTGGTTCTGTAATCTGAGAACAAACCAGTTTAAGATTAGAAAGACACAATGGCTGGATGAATCTTCCAGAGGGTTCACTATTATGCAAGGAATACAATGAATTATTGTCTCTACAAAGTGCTACTAACCAGCCCCTCTGATTTCAGGAGGGATACTTACAGAACTGTGTCAAAGTGCTTTGATAGTAAAATCCTTATTAGTCAGCTAGGAGAAATTAAGAATGGCCTAAGGTACATTTTAGAAAAGTGTTTTCTTTTGCTCTTTTTCACTATTTATTTCCATCGACCAATAAAGCACTTCACTATGATACTAGTTTAAATACTTGGGCATAGTAATGTCCTGAACAGGTGACTTTCTGGTTTTATGGAAATCCATAAAAGCAATGTGTTCTCCTAACTAAAACAGATGGTTTGATTGCCTTGTTTAGCCTGTTCTATAGATGATAGTACTAGTTTTTATTTTAATCCAAGCTCAAATTCAGATGACAGCCCTGATGTCCCCACACACAAACAGCTGAGGTATAAATTCACAAACTACATTTGAAACAGTCTTTCTGTTTGCCCAGACCTGGAACTACAGCAGTACATCAGCAGCTAAATTACTAAGCAGTAAATATTAGTATTATACAAACATGAACCAGAGAATCACTACTAGTTCATATGACTATTGGAAAAGTCTATTCATGTTTTAACTGTAGCTGGATATGTGGAGTGCACGATTTTGTTTAGATTAAAAAAGCCATGCAAATAAATGTTACAGGACAAAGAAATAAATAGTCTTCAACCTGTGAAACTAATTCAACATGACCAAAAGAACTTTCTTTGGTATCACCATTTTCCAGGTCTCTTTCTTGCCAATATTTGTGATAACTATTAATGAAAAATTAATTGAAACTAAACAAACCTCTACTCTAATAAAGACTAAAGAATGTCAGCCATGTTAGGAATTTGATATGAAAATAAAATTATACTTAAAAGCTTTTAAGAAATCTAATTTATGAACATGGCAAACTTTCAATGGAGTGTTTACAATTAGTTAAATACATATTTGCTTTTCCCTTTCATCATACATTATAGAGCCCCACTGTGGAGTGTACCATGACTCTTCAAAATTTATCTTTGAGTACAAATAGACAAATAGAGAGACAATTCCCTATGAGAAGTAAACTCTGTGTTCAAATATATTGCTTTGTTGTTAGAATCCATCCACTACTTGTTGCATTTTTATTTCTTCTCAAAATATTTTTGTGAGGAAAAACTGTCCATATTTACATTACACCCATCTCAAACATGTTTTAGAGAGAGACAGGGATTCATGGATGTTATTACCTTCATTCCTCAAAATATGAAGCAACTTACTGTTTGTTATTATTCACATATATATTCCACATGCAATTAGTATTGTTAGTATTGTCATTAACAGCACCGCATTTTTCTCTCAAATAAAATACTACAGTCAGAACTCAGATTGCAGAGGACAATAGTGGTTTTGAATGTGATGTCCTCAATTTCTTTACTAGTCCTCTAGGATTCTCTTCTGCCATCTGCCAGAGGCATTGTTCAACAGCCAGTAAATTAAAATGACCAATAACAATCAAGCATTTTTAATACCACAAATTCTTTTGATGTTTATCTTCATAATAATTTTCAGAAATTTTCTTCCTCACACTTAACTGAATTGCAGTCAGAAGTCTCACATTCAGAAATCTGGGTCAAATTTTCAGCACAAATACTAGTCTAAATGGCCCAAAAGTCTTAGGGTTTTGCTGCAGCTGCATGGGTGAGACTTCCTCTCACAAAGACCATGTGAACATATGACAGGGATTCTTAACAGGAGGAGACAGTGGGTACTGAATAGGAGCTCTACAATGCATGGGCAGAGTATACCTTGGTCCCTTTGGACTGTTCTGCCTTACATTTTTGGCCAGAGTACCTGGAGCACCCAAAAGCTCTAGCTAGTCCTCTCCAGCCTTTCTCCCTGTGCTGTGAAATTGTTCCATGCATGTTGTTTAAGACTCTTCAAATGCAAGGTTTTCAATTTAAATGCTGACTGTTATTTAACGGTATAATTTCAAAGGATAAAGCTAATAAAATGTGAGCTAGCCATTTACACATGGAAAGATGATCAAGATTTGACTTTGTCCTGCACACAGGGAATATGAATGAGTCAGAGACGGTCACTTCTGGGGCGATACAAGGACTTTCTGTTCTTCAGTAACAGTATTACCCCCTGGTCAATGTAATGTCACTCTGACAGTGGTAATTTCCTCACAGATACAGTCTTCTGTATTTATAGAAACTGATAAGAATTCTGCTGATTGCTAGTGACATTCTGTCTAGACTATACAGACACAGAGAGATCCACTTGAGAAATTGATGTTATATATTAGAGCAATATTTCATATGTTAATGTCTAGGAGAATAAAATTATCCTTAAAGACGCATAGCAATTAGTGTTCTAAGGAGTTAGGAGCAGGTGTCAACAAAGAATATTTGGCAGGGAGAACAACTGAGACAATTGAATCAAAGGTGAAGAAACTAAAAACTCTGAAAGAGTCACCATGATCATCAGCTCTGCCTTTCCTTTACAATCCAAACAAGAGAATAACCTAGTACTAAATTCTGCTTCAATAAGCATACTTTTTTTTTCTTTCTTCCTGCAGGGGCAGAAAGAGGAGAGAAAACACAAACATCATTTGAAAACTCCCAGGGATTGAGAATGCATCACAGCTTAGTGATAAATAACCCCTTGGTTACTCCAATGATTAAAACAACCTGCTTTTAAAAAGAGGCATTCTATAGAGTTGTCAAGTTTAAATTTTAGCCTAGCTTCTGCTTTGAGGTGTTGGACCTGATTTTATCTTTCTGCAGCTGAATAAAAAGTTTATTGCAACAGTTTTGCTGCTCATATAAACTGTGCTTCCATCTTAACCTGCTCTCTGTTATAACACACAAATTGTGCACCTTATCCCTGCTCTGCTGGAATGTTTTCCAATCCCTTACTCATATTCACACCTCTTCTCTAAAAGCTTAGTGATTTATAATTATACTCTTTGCCTCTAGGGATGGCACCCAGGCCAACATGCAGAACTCCATGTAGGCTATACCTTATTCACATAAAGAAATAGTATAAAATCCCTTCTCCTCAAAGTTCTCCTGCCAACACATACAAGGATAAACAGTGACCAAGAGATTTGTTGGTTATTCTCAAGCTCAGTACATTTGCCTAATTAAAAGTCAAGAGCACCTCTGCCATCAATAAACTCAGAAATACACTAGAGAATAAACTTTGTGGTTACCCATTTATCCTTGTACCTACAGCCTGAGACTGACCAATCTGAAAAAACATGCAGTTGATCCTTGCAGTACAGAATCCACTTCAGCAACACTAATCTTTTGTCAATACATCATAATGAGAGCATTACCATGGGTAAATTTAAACCTGTACTTATGAATTCAAGATTTAAACTGCCAGGAAGTCACATTTAACTCAGTAGAACTTCCAGAAATATCAATAGAATTAAATTTGCAGCATTTTTTATCTTGAGTACTAAAAGAATATTCAAGCATCCTGGAATATGGTTAGCAGAATCTAAATGATCAAATATCACAAATTGTGTTGACATTAATCAATAAGAATGCTTGCTAAAATATTTATACTGCCACTGAACTTGTAAAAACAAACAAACAAACAAACAAACAAACACACACAACCAATCAAGCAAACCACAACAAACACCCAAACAATTTCAAACATTTTTCTTAAAGAAAAAGGGGATTATCCTCTGAACTGTCATGCTATGGTTCAAATAACTGAAAGAAAAACAAAACTCATTTTTCTAATGCTTCAACTGCTCTTCATTCAAAAGATCCAACTCCTCCAATTTATTTACCACAGCTGTCCTCATCACTATCATCTTCACAGTCAGCCTGACCATCACATCTTCTGGACGCCAGAACACACCTCCCAGAACGGCACTTGAAGTGACTGGGTGAGCATTCTGTCAATGACAAGGAACAGAGAGAAACAAGACTCCATAAGCTGCAAGCTTAATCGTCACATGGGCACTCGTTTATCGCTGGGACTGTTTCAGAAGGTTCAATGACAAGACCAGTAACCTTGTGTGATTCTAAACTGGAACTATGGCAAGACTCTTAACAATTGCACTGTGTAAGGTGTGGAGCAATATTTTCCAGAGCTCTCCCTCAGATGCTACTCTCTGTCAAATTTCAAAGCTCTGCCAAATAACGGCTATATGATGTTTAGATTACAGGCATGGATTTTCTAGCTACTTTACTCACTGTTTAGGTGTTGTGTGAAGCAGAAATCGATCATCTGATGTGTTGAAATTTGTATGAGATCCCCAGGAAAAAAGAAATGTATTTGGGCAATTGTATGGCTATTTGAATTAATAAAACCACCTATAAATGTCCACTAATTAACCCTTACATCACTTCTGCCTCATCTTACATAGTATCATCTGGAGATTGACTTAGATGGTTTAAAAAAAAAAAACACATTTTTTCACACTGCATATGTCACTGACTTCTATGTACAACCTCCATCATGTGTTGCTTTTTTTTTTTACTTTTTCCCTTCTGGCAAAATCTCTCAAATAACTAATACCATGCAATTACTTGGATAAATTTTAGTAATCCGTAAACAGTTGTACCAAAAATATCATCAAAGAACTCTGGAGCCTTAGAAAATATAATTCAAATGACAAAAGGTGTATGAACTATACTGACAACATTTAAGAATAACTCACTATGAAAATAGCTAAGTTTACAACGCATACTGTCTTGGCAAGCAGTATTCTTGGACTCAGCACTGACTGGAAGAGAAGTTAAGCAATTCAGTACATTGTAATAACTCTGTTAGTTATAGCTTAACTTGGAAAATCACCTTTGTTTTGTAATGATAAACATTTTAAAAGCCCTCAAGAAGCTTAATTTCTTTTGTTACATGTGTTTTTTTTTTCAGGAATATTTATATAAGATCTTAAATTTCCAGGGAAGACTTTCTAACCAACATTGGTAGTCAATAGAAATCTGACACTGAATCAAAAAAAAAAATTCTAGCAGTTAGTGAACCCAAACCAACTCTGACAAGACCCCTTAGTTACACTGTTTCTAAAAGAACAGTAAAACCTCCTCCTTTTTTTCTGATTTTCCAGAAATATCATATCCAGAAAAGCATTAAGATGATTAATAAGCAGTGAATCAGCTTACTAGGCAGAGTTCCTCTAATTAAAGTAAGATTTTTACAAAATATATAATTTTTATAAGTGAACAGAATTTGTCTCCAGAAATGGAACACACTAATCCTGTATGTAGTAGTATATTTAAAATATAACCATTCTATGTTACATATCAAAGCCAAATGATCTAACAACACAGGGAAGAAGGTTAAAAGACATTTGATATCTGAGAAAACTAAATCGTGTTATTCTTTAACACACCTCGTTGTGTCAAAATCTTATTCTTCCTTTCCTATACACTGCTGTGCAATAATGGATAATTCCTTTCCATCAGCCCACTGCTGTAAAGGGAAGTTATCTCCTTGTCCCTCGAGAGTCCCACAGTGGAGAATTTCATTACTATGGTATCATAAATCTCTGCAAAATCCTCACAGTCATACATTTGCACACAGACATGCTTGAATAAACATTACTAACTGCTATACGTGCTTTACTGGTTTTTCATTATTCCTTCACTATATTCACAGTAACACATCTTCACTAAAAGAGAAATACAAACTAGCTTTCACCCATTTCTTTCTCTGAGCAAGATCAAGGCTGTGGAAAGACCATCATCACCACGTAGGTGCGTATGAGAAGAGTGAGAAATGAACACCATCAGCACATTGTGGGCACTTCAGCACACGCCACCTTACTATTTTCCCAGCTACTTGACTGGTGTTTTGACAAGAAGTTGGAAAGATGTGTCAGAATCCCCACAGATCTCATATCCAATGACCACTGCAGAAGGAAAAGCTGCACAGTTTCTCTCTTCATACATTCGAAGAATATCTAGAAGCATTTAAGCAATTTTGTTCTTTTGTTCCATGTTCACACCCACAATGAATAGTATCATGGCTGAACTCAAACACTGAAATTTGTCAGTTGCTACTGAAGCTGGTTTGGCACAAGTTCCTACAAAACCTTCCCCACACAAAAAACTAATACCAAACAATAGCTGGCAAAGACATTAACATTGCAATATTTTTCTCAGAACTGTTGTGGGGCTTAGCTTTTTTTAAAATTGTCAAGAGCCTGCCTCCTGGTTATAAAAACATTATTCTATCATCTAAATAGGAAAAAAAGTGAAGTATGAATGCCAGCAAGCAGTAAATGTGGTGTTAGTAACAAATCTCAAAACACTGACTTTCACAGATTTAGGGTAACTGATGCTTCCTGGAAACAGACTTCTTACGAGACCTTCCTCTTATCTGCAAACTGTAAGTATCCAAACTTCCCCAAATACAGTTTGGAATCACTTCCACAGTTTAAATATCATAATTTAAAGAGGAGGTATGAGAAAAAAAAAAAAAAAACAAACCAACCAACCAAACACAAAACCCAACCATGCAACCAAAAACCATCCGTGACTTTGGGGACTTAGATAAATCTTTAATTTCTTGTAATAAGTATTCAATGGAGTTACCTTCTACATCTTCATCTGGTGTTAGACAAGTTTGGTTGTCTGAGTTCTCATCTGGAAACTGAGTGCAGTCTGTATCTTCTGGCCACTGCAGACCTACAATCCCAAGCACAGACTCACAGCGTTCCTTAGACTGTACACACAACGTCCTGAGGAGACACAAAGAGGAACTGCACAAAGTAACTGAGTGAAAGTCCTCGAAGCTCCCAGTTAATGGAAGGTAACAATCCTAGCTGAAGTTAAAGATGAATGAAAATCAGTTAATCACATTTTTTTACAAGAAAAAACAAGCCAACCAACCAACCAACCAAAATAACAAAACCATATCAAAAGATATATTGCTACTATGGAAACACTATTTCAAGTTACTGCATCACAGAATGGTAGGGGTTGTAAGGGACCTCTGGAGATCATCTAGTCCAACCACCCTTCAGGTTCATCGAGATCAGGTTGCACAGGACCACGTCCAGGTGGGTTTTGAAAGTCTCCACACAAAGAGACTCAAAAATCTCCCCAAGCAGCCTGTTCCAGTGCTCCATCACACTCACAGGAACAAAGTTGAGGAGGAACTTCCTGTGTTTCAGTTTGTGGCCATTGCCCCTTGTCCTGTCACTGGCCACCACAGAAAAGAGTCTGGCCTCATTCTCTTGACACCCATCCTTTAGATATTTATAAGCATTGATAAGATCCCCAAGTATGCAGATTATTACCTGAGCTATAACATAATAGCCAAATATAACTACTTACAAACATCCTTTCCTCTGTAAGGGATGGCAGAGAACCTTTTTAAAAAGCACTAACTGCCCTCCTTCAGGACAAAAATCCATATGCATTTTATACAGTAAAATGCTACCTCTGATGATGCTGCTAGCTCAGAAACCACATGGTTTCAGAAAGACAAAAATCTGTAAAATGGCAAAGAACTCTGCAGAGCATTCAATAAAATCACAAGTTTGGGGAAAAATCAAAGCACAGATTAACATAGCCTTCAGGGTGTTGTCAGTTAGAGCAACAGAAGCTCGTATTGCACCTGACAAAAGGCATGAATATAGTCTTCCTGATGCTTTTTTATTTTGCTTTTTGCCTTTTTTTTTTTTTCCACAGAAAGACACAGCTTACCACAAAGTACTTCAGTTCATCTAGACTAATATCCTGTTGCTCAAGATACCCAGTGTCAAAAGGGCTACAAATTACAAAAAGAAAATCCATAACAGAAAAATCCTCTGTTATTTTAAGCATTATTTTAAACATTTAGCAATTATGTTTGCTTGGAATCATAGCTGATATGCTGTTCAGTACAACAGTCTTATCTTGTATCTGTGGTATTTTGAATCCCTATTTGTTTCAACTGTCTCTATTTTTTTTCTTTTATTTTTGTGGAATATTAACTACCGATATGGGATTTGGAACCTCAGCATGCTTTTCAGCTCTTCCTCTTAACAGAAACATGCATGATGCTTAGCCAGTATTTGTCTAGGCTGTTCTTAAAAATACTTCAGTTAGCAAGATTTCATATACTTCCTTATCACTCATTCTCACACACAGATATCTAGTATTTTACTTACATCTGACCTACATCTCTCCTGATGTACTTTAAATCCAGTGCTTCCCTGTTTAACCTCAGTGAACACGGTGAACAATTTGTTTTCTCACAGAAGCACATTTTTTACTCATTTGAAGGCTAAGCTATCTCCTCAAGTCTTCTCTTATTTCTAGACTCAGCAGCTCATTTAATTGCACCTTTTAGATTCCACTTTCTAAGCCTGTAATCATTTGAACTTTCCCCTACTGTTTCAAAGAAAATTCTCCTTTGTTCTTAGAGGCTGAAAAATATTCAACAGTAGGATCCCACCCATTTCTATTTTTCCATTTTCCTTCCTGTCACTTTTAACTTGCCTTTTATTTAAATGGATTAATTTTTTCAGATCTTTCTTCTAGGAAAAGACACTCCTTTTGTGGAAGGCATTTTATGGTACTCTTTTCCTTTGATCTTTTGACCACTTTTTTCCTGCAATAAACTTCAAGAAAGGCAGTGATCAAAACCAAGCAAACAGGTCCATATAGGATCAATTATTTATACTCTTTTGAGAAAACAATACATTATTAATATTTTCAAACTTCATTTTGTTTTAAGAGGTTGTATCAAGAAGAGTCAATGTTTTTCCACACCAAATGATTCACCATTGAGTTGAGCAGCTGGAAGGAATGGGTGAATGGATTGACATCATTTAACCATGCTACAGCTACAGACTCTGTCTTCCCTTTTGGATCCTCCTCAGTATCAAAAAGATTGATACACACTACTTTATAACCTCAACTTTCTGAATGCCAGAATTTTTATTTAACAAAGACAAAAACCCAACCCAACAACTACACAATGAATCGATTTTAAAAATTCTATTTTGTTAACTGAGACATCTAAGCCATTTCTGTCCTGTATTCTCTGCACACTCAAAACCTTTGGCCAAAGCTGACTCTTTCGAAAAGCTATAGCAAGCCATTAAGTTGTCAGTCTGTGGTGAATTAAAATGTAGATAATATTCAAAGTAGTGCCCACCACAGTGCCTATGGAAGCCTATTGCAATACTGCTAGCAAAACTGGAAGAGCAATTGGTACCTCCTTTTTTTTTTGTTTTTCCCAATCCTTCCCACATTCCCATATTGAGCCTCACAGATGGGCTATCAGAATATCTTGGTAACAGACTTCTGTATTTACTTCTCAGTCAAATCTCCTGTGTGGTACTGTCTATTAATCAATCTAACAAGTTAACAGTTACGAGAGTACACATCACAAAGCAGGGAATTCTCCTTCTTGATAGGAGAAAGAAATACAAGATTAAAAAAAAAAATATATATGTAGCATGAAAATGTGTAATTTCCTGCAATGGAATTCAATCTAGCACTTTTTAAAGAACACTAAGTATATTTAACAGTTAACTCAAACATCTCTTTACTCTCCCAATTCAAATATGACAATGGGATGCTTCAACTGATGCCAACACATAAAGGGCATGTGATTTGACCAAGATTATTCCTCATACCCATCTGTCACAGTTTTGAAACAACACCAAAGTCAAATGAAGACTGCTTAAGTACACAGATAGTGTAATCTCCATGTCATTATAGGCTGACATGACCAGGAAGGAATTTACTGGTCCCAAAATCAGGGACACTGATAGACTTACTGGAATGTTGTGAGACTTAGATTCTGCAGAAGCTGCTCAGTACCTTGCAAAATCAATTCATAGCAAAGATAGTTTGTAATTATCAGGAAACAGGGATTTCTGAGCTGATTCCCTAAGTTCTTCATCTATGAAAGAATGAATTTGAAAAATCCACTTGTCCTCCGTGAGAGCCAAGCACACACTGAGATTCAATGATTATTCACCAGACCTGGGCAAGTAGTACCAGTGCCATATCAGAGATGAAGAATACTGTTTACCATTTGAAAACACACTTGACAGATCAATTAATGGCCTCAATAACAGCAAGTTCAGTTCTTTCAGAAAAACATCTTCACCTGTGCTCCTTAATTTGAAAAAAAAAAAATTCATGAAGACTGTTAAGAAATAAAGCATGACAGTCAAACTACTAACACAAAGACAATGAAGAGCCTTGCAAAAGAGGGTTTTATGAAGAGGGAGTAGAATTAAAGTTAATGAGGCTATATGCCTTTTCATTTTTAAAACACTTAGAAATGTGTTTTAGACTTAAAGACAAAATATATTTTTGACATTATATCTATGTTTGAAATTCTTGCTAAAACATTACCATAAAGCAAATACTACATATCTCAGTGGGACCCTCCAAGTTATCCCTTCCTGATCACTCTCTATTTGTGATCTAATGTAAGAGTTATAACTAAGTGTAGAGACTTGAATTCTAGGATTTAAAATTTTATGTTATACATTCAGTCTGATCTAAACATGATGTGACCCTGCAGGAAGTTGGACTAAAAGACTTCCAGTGGTATCCTTCAAATGAAATTATTCCGTGGTTTCGACAATTTCCTCTTCATCTCTTTAATACCTTAAATTTGAAGACTACTCAACTGTATTGTGATGTTTCCTAAAGTCTATTAGCTAGGTATGTAGTTGGTGAAGCCAAGAGCCTATAATTTAATTTCTGTTCCTCTACATTAGAATAAGTTAGACCAATTTTTAATTATTATAGTGCTTTCTTAAACAAAAAAAAAGAGACTAGATCTTCAAAGAAGCAAGCCTGAAACTGAGCTTGCACAAATCACTCTGTAACTTAGCAGCTATCCCATGTGCAGTATTCTAAGTTTCCTGTTAGGTCCTTATGTGAGAATTAAGCAATATTGTAGTAAATCTCCCTGTGACTCACTCTTAACTTGCACTAAGACGCACATCACTAGACAAAGAAATGTTATCTACTTGTCAAAAAGTCATGCTGTAGGAAATCTAAGGACACATATTATAATGTTCAATGCACTTTTCCTTCAGTACAGTAGATGCATATTGCCAGGGTAGGCCAAATAAAAGAGACAGAAATACAGTTTGAGAAGATTCTATCAGCCAGTAGCTCGAAGAGCTCTGATGGCTGATCAGGTTTATTAGCTCTCCCAACCTGCAACAACTGCTGCCATAACCGAAGCCATAAGATTTACAGCAGATACTCCCTTTGAACAGATACAGGCATAACCTGGTAAGTAAAGCGATATTAATTGATAATTCTGGTAGAAAAGTTAATCTGAGAAGTAGAAAACCCATTAGTGTATAATTCAGAATAACGTGGCACTTCTAAGCATGCACTGAAATCTCAGTTTTTGTTAGTATTTGGATAGGGCTTTGCACAGGTAAAATTATATGCAAGGAACTATTACAAACGCTAACGTTCCAAATGAAATTGATTCTATGTTTGGATACCATTTATAGCCGCACAATTCTAACCAAACACCCAGAAATGGAAAATGCTTCCTACAAAGCTCACAGCATCCTTCTGGACAAGTTGTCCAGCCGCAGGGTGAGTGGATTCATGGTGCAGTGGGAGAAGAACTGGCTGAAAGGCAGTTGGTGCAGCCTCACCTCGAGTACTGTGTGCAGTTCTGGGCCTCACAATTTAAGAAGGATGTGCATGTCCTTGAACATGTCCAGAGGAAGGCAACAAAGCTGGTGAAAGGCCTGGAAGGGATGTCCTATGAGGAGTGGCTAAGGACTTTAGGCTTGTCTAGTCTGGAGAAAAGGAGGCTGATGGGAGACCTCATTGCTCTCTACAGCTTCCTGAGGAGGGGATGTGGAGAGGGAGGTGCTGATCTCTTCTGCCTGGTAGCCAGTGACAGGATGTGTGGGAATGGTTCAAAGCTGCTGGACATTAGGAAGCATTTCTTTACCAAGAGGGTGGTCAAACAGGCTTCCTAGAGGCGTGGTCAATACCCCAAGCCTGCCAAGTTTTTAAGAGGCATTTCGACAATGCCCTTAATAGCATTTTAACATGGTCAGCCCTGAATTGTTCGGGCCATTGGACTAGATGATCATAGGTCCTTTTCAACTTAAATAGTCTATTCTATTTTATTTATACGTTTTGAAAATCACTGAACTGCTATTCCTCCCTTTGAGTACTTCAGATACTATTCATACACATGTAATGAACTGCATTTAATTAATTTATAAAACATGGTTCTCTACTTTTTTCTATGGAACTCCAAAGCAAAATTTCTGACATTTTCAGTGGAAACAGAAAAATGGGAAAGACTAATATGACAGACAATGTCAATCAAGAATCAAATGAAGTATAGTATGGTACCTGCAAGGTGGGATCCGCTGATTTGTATGGGGGTCACATTTTGGTACTAAGATTGTACAGGCAAAAAACATAAGGTACTTGTAGCAGTTGGTCTGAACCAAGGCTGGGAAAAGAGAAGACTCCCAGCTGATAGAGGCCTCCTTCTGTGTCCTGTGGCCCAGGTAGTTTGGGTAATAAGTATAGTTGTAAGGCAGGTTCATACAGAGTTCCAGAGTAATTGGTTCACACTGACCTTTCACAGAAAGAAAACACAACAAACAAAAAAAATAAACAAATGGTGTGAGATTAAATGAAATACGGAAGAAATAATTACATATGTATTTCACAGATTTATCAATCAGGGGATTTCCTCTCAGACTTGAGAAACTACAAGTTTCAGAGCTCAAGATCCCACATCAGCCTACTCATACCAATAAAAAAAGGTGGGTTTGACCTCTACCTACCTAATAACCTATTCAGCAACTTGTATTCCCTTACCAATATCCATTAATGTCCAGAGTAATATTTTAACTCTAACATGGCACAATAAATCATTCTTAAAAACAAGTTTACTCTTTTCAAATCAAGTTTCTGATTATTTTGAAGAGCTTCTGTACCATACAGCAACACGTTTCTTGCTGATGTACTATGCTACCATAACACACCTCACACTGGAAAAGCAGTTGAGTCTTGAAAAATCTCTAATGACAGAGACTGCACAGTTCCTCTCTGCAGAAAACAGAAGGCAGGATATATATTTTACTTTATTTTTTTGCATCCCAAGATCTGAAGGAAGAATGTAGACCATTAGGTTATGTATTTCACAAACACTAATATACAGTCTACATTAATTTAATTCAGGTAAGACATAATTGGTAAGAGAGTGAACGATAAGCAAGAACAAAAGAAATGCAACAGATACAAGTCCTTATGATTACACTGATTATATCTATACACAGAAATCATCCAGCTTTTAGGAGGTTTATCACAACACATATTGAACTGACTAGTTTGGATTTTAAATGAACATTTTTAATATTTCTTCCCATATTGATAGTCAAAATATGTTGTGGTGAGCAGAGCCCGCCCTAGGCAGGGATCGGCGTGCGGAAGATCTCGCGATGTAACGGAAAGCTCAGACTGCCCACGAGGGGCCTTGTGGGTGTGGCTTGTGCTATATAAGCAATTGCAGCTGCGCAATAACAAAATATTTATTTTTCAATTTCACTTCAGTTCAGACTGAAACTCAGCTTCTTATTTAGCACTGAGATCGATGTGAAATTATTTAATTTTATTTACTTTTGAAATATGAGAAATTTTCCATGAAAAAGTGTACTATTCAAAAGTCATCTGTTATCAAAGACTGCATACACTTGCCTATTCTGGAAGCAAATCTGCCTTAACCTGCTTAATACCCTCTGCCAGCCAGTTGCTCTCACTGCCAGCACAGTGTGGCAATTGTGTGATCCTATAGCTGGATCTTTGAGAGGAAGCTGAAAGAAGACCCAACAGTCAGTTATGCAGAATCAACAGCAGAACTGGCCAGTCTTTCTTGGACCAGCCTTCCCTGTTATAACTTCATCTAGTATTTACACCTAATCTAAGAATCATGAAGCTCATTTTATATACAGCTTTTCCTCTCTGCTAAATCCTTGTAAACTGCCAATACTGAACTATTTCTGTTATCTCAAACTACTTAGTCCCAGCATTGGGGTATATGAGGTTCAAAGACTTCAACAATCCTCCTCACATTACTGCCATTTCCTTTCCTTCATGGTGAACTCTCCCTTGTCCTCCTGCACTTCAGCTCCTGATGCTCAGATCAGTTTGGTTTAGCCTTTTGACTTTTCCCCAGTATGCCTCTCCTCTCAATGTATGGAACATTACATGTTCATCAGTATTCCAACTCGATGAACACAAAAGTGTACGCAGTGTTTTAAGGGTTTGTATAACACCACATTATTGAAGACTAAAGGGTAGAAAAGTACATATATCATTCCCTCTTTTGCTACGACTTATATTTACAGAGGTTCAGGTAAAATCCAGAAGAAAAACTAGTCCACTGAAATGCCTCTGTAGGATAGATCTCTACATCTTTTCAATATGATTACCATTTTCACACTGTGTTTAGGAAACTTCTGTCACATTATGAACAAGTGTTCTTGTAGGTTTGAAAAAAAACAACTTTGACTCTCATACCCAATTCCCTACAATCAACAAGCAGAGTAACATACATAACACACACTCCAAGGGAATATCTGACTGAATCTAAGAAACCCAAACGTTGATGTTTGATGTCCTACTGTTTAAGAGATCTTGCTAGTCTCTTGTTCATAGTACATGTGAGTACAACCTAATGAGTGGGGAATAAGGGATAAAATTCATTGTATCTTTTATCCTAAAAAAAAAAAAAAGAAGCCAGAAACCAAAACCCCAATTACACCTATGTTTTTAATGTATTTGTTATTGACCTCTCTACCAACTATATCTACTACATAGGAATTAGTTCCAAAAATAGTACAGAAGTGAATGGGATATTTCACAGAATAATAGGATGGCTGAGGTTGGAAGGCATGTCTGGAAGTCATTTGGTTCAGCTCCTCTGCTTAAGCAGGGACATGTAGAGCAGGTTGTGCAGAACCATGCCAATAGCTTTTGGCTATCTCCAGGGATGGAGTCTCCACAACTTCTCTGGGCACCGTGTGTTCAGTCACTCTCACAGTAAAGAAAGTGTTTCCTGATGTTCAGAGGGAACCTCCTGTGTTTCAGTTTGTGCCCACTGCCTCTGGTCCTGTCACTGGGCACTGAAATAGCCTGGGTCTGACTTCTTTACACTCTCCCTTCAGATACTTGTTCTATTACCCTAAATATGTTATAACTGCATTATAATGCCAGCCTAAACAGATCAGATATCATCACACATGGGGAACATCCATCTCATTCAATACTATGAAATGTAGCCCACATTTTGGAATTGTCCAACCAAATAGTTATTTGAGCTAGAAAATACTGCTTTGTCAAAACTGAAATTTTCCACAGGGATTCTCATCTCTTACCAAAGATTAAATAACTCTGGTCAAAATAGGAACAGCAAAAATAACATGAAAAATGACAATAGTACTTCCAGATGTTATGCAAGAAAAATCTCTCCCAAATTCTCTTACTCTTCCATTGTGTATAAACAATTAAATACTCACTGGACCAGAAAGGGAGAAACAGAGATGATCCAGAAGTCTAATTCAGATTATGTGTTACTCCTGTTGGGAATTACAGACTATTGCTCATAACATGATGACAAAATATTTTCACTAAAAAGCTCTTGGGTTTCGCATGACATGGAACAGGAACATTGCTTTAGAACTCAAAAATCACATGCCAAAAATATTTTTAGCTATTTTGTAACATAGTCCTAGCCATTCAAACATTTTCCAAAATTGCTGTCCATACATAGAATAGATACAAAAATCTGCATCAATCAGGAGAAGATTTTGGACCACAGGACAAATTGTTTTGGACCCAAACAAGTCTCATACAGATTTATCCACAAAGATGAGTGCAAGAAAGACAGTACATTGTCACCTCTCTCTTACTGTCAGAAAGCTGGAATTGCAGTCACACTGCTTGAAAGACTGTTGCATTTTACAGGATTGTAGTTGCTGCTTATAAAAGGTAATTTGTTTAAGGGAGACCCATTCCCTGAGTATATAAGAACCAGAGACTACTGTGGGAATTTACGTATTTTCCTACTCGTTGGGTAAAGGCTGCTGCTGTTGCCTTGTCTGCCAGACAAATAGAGGACCTGTCTTAGGCATGACTGGTGACTATATGACCATCAACCATGACTCCATAAAAGATACACTTTATGTGTTCTTTACTGAGCAGTTTAAGTTATAAGTATCTAAAAATGGAAATTAGAAAATACTGTCTTTTTTTTCCCTGATTAAACAAAGTTGCTGCATTTTTACACACAAAAAAGGGTTGAGTGTTAATGCCTGCTAAGTTTTGGAAACACTATGAGTAAAGCAGCTATGGAACAGCAGGTATCAATATGGAACTCCCCATTCTTGGGTGAACCACAGTTTTGCGGCAAAGGCAGTAATGGTCAAATAAAAACTCCATATCTTCAAATGGAGAAACAGAGAAGCAACACTTCTTAGAGGCACAGGCTGCTAAGGCTGCTGCTTCTCTTGAGAGTCTGGGATTAAACAATCTAATACTATCCTTCACTCTTATTAGCCTTCAGCCCACACAGAATAAATCTTATCACACATGTAAATTTGTGACTAGCTACAATGGAGTTTTTCAGGTCAGTAATTGTATCTCAATGAATACTTATGTGTTCTGACCTTAAAACATCAGGAAAATATGACCTTCAAATCTCAAAGACAAGAAAAGATTACTTGAAGAACTGTTTTCTTTGGAGATGACAGGTAGCTACAGTTCCAAGGGATTTCAGGAATTGCAGATGTGCTGAACAACTAAAGTAATTGGATCTGTTGTGATATCTCATGTTTCTTTTCTCCTTGATTAGTGTATATATGCCAAGATATATTGCTTCTTCTTCACAAGGAGGGGTATGGCCACTAATGGGAGATCAGAGCTGACCATGAATTGCAAGATACAAAGGATAAAATTACTAAGATAATCCCATGAAAGTATCTTAGATTTCAACAACAAGAAGTTATTTTAAAAAATTTAAGAGAGTTTTTTTAAATGAGGTGGATTGTTTCTGGTTTTGTTTTATACGGATACTTTCCCTCCCATTTCACAACCCTTTCAAAACATTTCTTAGGGGTGAACGATAGTTTTGTTCACAATAGTCAAGTTAAAAAATCCTACACCCACTCTTCTAATGACCTTAGAAGGCTCCTTCTCACCTGAGTAGTTTGGTTATGGATATGGATTAGAGGACAGACCCACGCAGGTGATGTACATAGTAGGCTGCAGACCACCTTAGGAAAAAGAGGACGTAGATGAACCCTTCTTCAGAGAGCTGGAAGATGCCTCCTGATTACAGACCCTGGTACTTGTGAGAGTTTTAATCATGCTGATACCTGCCTGAAGGACAGCAAACTTAAAGGTCTTAAAGGAGGGCCTCCTCAGATCACAGGAAGAATCCACTGCAACGCAAAGTAAGTCAAGCTGGAGTGGCATAAGGCCACCTTAGCTGAACATCGACCTCCTGACTGAGCTCAAACACAAAAAAGAAATACACAGAAGAGGGGATAGAGCACTTGGGTGAAATGTAGAGACATTTCCCTGAGCATACAAGAATGGAGCTAGAAAAGCCAGAGCTCGTTTAGAGTTGAAACAACTAAGCAATGCAAAGGGCAAGAAGGAGGGGTCAAGTAAGTACATTGGCAGCAGAAGGACATAAGAAAAACATGGGTCTGCTGCTCACTGGGGCAGAAGAACAAGCGGACAGGGACATGGAAAAGACCAAAGGTACTCAGTGACTTTTCTGCCTCTGTTCCCACTGAGGAATATTATTAGAAGGCTGCTTTATATCATCTTCAAAAGGTCATGGCAACCCTGGCACTTGATGACTGGGAAAAAGCAAACATCACAACCATCTTTAGCAAGGACAAGAAGGAGGATCCATCCAGAAGACGTGTCCATATACGAAGAACAAAAGTGGCTAGGAAGAGTCAGCATGGATTTATCATGGGAAGGATATGCCTGATTGATCTGCTTGCCATCTCTGACAAGATGACTGTTATTCCCTTTAATTCAGCACTGGTGCATATTTGGAGTATTGTCTCCTGTTTTTAGGTTCCCTAGTTCATGAAAGACATCGACATGGTGGAATGAGGTCATTGGCAGGCCACAAAGCAGGTTAGGGGACACATGATCTACAGGCAAAAGCTGAAAAAAGAGGGTTTGTTCAGCAATCAAAAAGTAAGGCTAAGGGAGCCTCTTATTTCTGTTAACAATTACCTAATGGGAAGGTATAAAGCAGACTCTTAGAAGTGCAAAGGGATAGGATCAGAGGCAGAAGTTTAATTATTACACAGAGAATTCCAGTTACGTATATGGACGAAAGGTTTTTAACACGAGAATAGCCTACCACTGGACCAGGTCTCCCAGAAAGACTGTGGAATCTCTGTCCTCAGGGACACTTTAAACTCAGCTGCACAAGGATGGGCCACATGACTTAATTGGCACTGCTTTGAGCACGAGTTTGGACTCATTGACCAAAGATGTGAGCTAACTTCCTTCTAATGTTAAACATGATACTTATGATTGTCCCTCTTCAAAAAGTTAGTAGTAGCACTGATAGGCGCATATGTAAAGCATATACGCCCAAATATCAAGCCCCAGCATGAATAGTGCCTGTACCAAACAAACACTTGTGGGTGACAGTCACACCTTTAGAGAGACTGTGGAGTTTGGACTAGTTGACCTTCCCATATCCATTCCAACCTAAATGGAATAACAATATCCAAAGAAGCTATCAGAAAGTACCAAACCACACCTCACAGAGAGAACTGCTCAGCAAAAACAATTACAGGATACGTCTACACATTGACAAGTAAGTGAAGGCAAGCTGGCCCATGTGCCAAGGCGACCTGAATTCATGTGACTTTGTGAACACATCACCAAGTTTTAAGTAAGTCTGAATAATTCTGCATACAGCTCTGCCCCAGTTTCAAAACCTGGTCAAATATACTTGTTTTGAGTGTCTGTTCACAGTGCTGCATTGCACAAGCGTGAAAGAGAGCTACTCAGAAGCAAGTGTAGAGTGGGCACCGGAGGCTTGCATGGAGTTGTGTAGTATAGGACACAGAAGCGAAGATATGCAGTGTTGAAGACCCTTTTTGAAGCAAAACTATTCCTTCATAAAAGAGCTAAAAGTTCTCCAGGCTTCTAAATACAGTACCATGTCTTCTTATGTTTTAAAAATAAAGCACTAGCTTCTGCTTTACACTTGCACTATACTGTTTACTTTATGTTAACATGAAACGTTAAGAAAAAGTGCAACTGTAAACATCCATTAATAAAGTCTCAAAAATTCATAGAAAGGAAATTATCACTATGCTAAATGTTATTAGTATCTCTTAGTACATCCATAAACAAGTTATGAAGAAACTTTTGTTTCTACTTTGTCCTTTTCAATACTTAATCATTACACGTGTGCATTAGATAGTAAATAAAAATATTACTTACTGTTTCCTACCCCGCATCCTCATTATACTAAAAAACATCCTGAAACAGCAATAACATGAAGCATGTGCCCTACTTACTGCAGTTTGTCTGGCTGTTTCTCATATCACAGAGGGAATTTCCACAGAGTTCAGGACAGGAAGTACATCTCTGGTCTCCCTCCTGACAGAGGGTTTGACCTGAGGAAAATAGAAATTTACTATTCTAATTATTTACCAGACTAATAAAAATGACTCAAATGTAGAGATGAGAAAACACAGAGTTTACATTACAATTAAATATTTCCTTTACATAGTTGAATAAGTACTTTACAGCATTCCAAGCACAGTAAAGGAGTATTCTAAGGAAGGAAAGTGTGCAGCACTGTCCAGATGTCACTTTTTTTTACCCCTATGTTTAATATATCCCAGTTTCTGAACTAGAGGTATGTATCTCTGAAAGCCATTTCCTGTAATTCTCTGGCAGAGTATGAAAAGTCATGTAAATAAGATTTCATCAGGAACAATGAGTCCTAGCTGCAAGAGAATACCCTCTGGAAATTAGTCTTCAGTGCCATTCAATTGATCTGCTTCTCATTTTATGATTGTTTTCACGGACAATAAAAAAAAAAATGTAGAAACGGTGTCAGAACTGAAAATTCATTGTCCTTCTTTGGCTGGTTAAAAAGCAAACAACAACAACAAAAAGAAATCCCAAAAGTCTGTGGTCCTAAAGATGGAATTTAGAATAACTAAAACCAGCATTTCATCAAAAAGTTTGAGCACATTACCTGGGTAGCTAGTTTCTCTGACAAATCTCTGAACTTCTCTGTCTCATAATGGCAATTGCTCCACTCCAAATCATTAAATTCCCTTTTCCATATGATTTTTGAAAAATCAGTCATTTAATTTACTACTCTGTATACAGAGACTGAACAGTTTGGATTTGATCATCTCATCTTGTTTACAATTATTTATTGCAACTATTGCTCAATGTTTGCATTGCATTACTGTCCTTGAACATTAATCATTCAGTCATGGCATCCTGATATTGGGCATACAGAAGATGCTAAAGAAACATCTTGTTTCAATGGGCTTGACAAGAGCCTTGTCACAAACAACTGATGATGTAGTCATATCTATTCATAACTACGTGGATTTACTTCCCTCCATACATGTTACATATTGAAGCAAGGAGGTACTTTGTTTTGCTGTAGCAACAGACTGTCTTATTTTACAGGTCCATCTGATCACATAAGGAAACTTGAAAAGTAGGGAAAACCTTCTGACTTCAAAAGCTGTCACAATCTATACATTAAAATTCACTTTTAAAGTTTGCTCTAACTCCTTCTTATCACACAGTGGAAGAGTTTCTCAACTCTTTAAAAATCCCTGTGCTACACCATAGATTCTTTTGATCCTAGCACAGTCAACACTGAATTTCTATAAACACACCTTCCCCTGTCTTTTGAAGGTTGATGGCACCATCTGTGAATTTCTGTTGTCACAAAATGAATGACAGCAGTAACATTAAGAGATGCCATATCTTAAACTTCCTTAAGGTGTGTAGCAAAGGAGATAATTTTTCTCATTCAGATATAGATGAAGTAATGATCATCTGTAATTCCTACACTTGTACACTTGTACTATTACACATGGTCTCTGTATCTTCATATAGGCAAATGGCAAGTTGCTATATCTTGACCTCAAATTTCTATGCTGATTTCACATATTTACTGTGTTTGTAAACAAATAAGTATTCTAGATCACTTCAGCCCTAGCTTCACTGCCTCTTCTAGGCATATCCAAATTGTTTGATCTGTAGAGCAGAGAAGTCTCTGTATTAAGTGTATGTCCTATTATATTTTCTGTAGTTGCTGAAATCAACAACACGCATAAGAAACAGGAAATAAAGTTATAAACGAGAATCTGCCTTGCTGTTATATGGGCTTTGCCATAAACTACAGACGAATAATCCAAATTCTAACCACAGATTCTCACGCAAAATTAGGATGGACAGGATATGGTTGCATAAAGGAAGAATTTTGCTATACAGAACATCGCAAAATATTTGACAGAGTTTTTTACACATTGAATAATGAGTAATAAGAACAAGGTAAACTTTTGTATTTAAAAGCTTTGCACTTCAATGCTAAGTGGAAAAACCTTTTAGTATACAGGGAGATCATTGACTATACAATTATCATCCCCCCCTCCTCCTCTGTATTTAGTATTCTTAAATCTGTATCTGTTCTTCTTACCAAAAAAAAAAGGATTTTTAACTATTTCTTCAACATCCACAGAAGCAAAAAGCAGTGAAAACAACACGCATTACTGACTTCTAGTCCAGATTATGCATCTACATTTTAAGTTAAATTCTTGTTCACTAATAATAAACACATTTAAGAGGCTTAAACTGGGTGAATTTTAAAGGCTGAAATGGTTGCTTATAGAATATTCCAAATAGTTTTTTATTTTTCAGTTTATCCCATTCTCCTGCCTCATGTCTTTTATATTAAAAATGATAGTTTCATCATCAGCAAGAGAAACAGATGATTATGGAATTCATAGAATAAGATTGAGGATGGACATCAGGAAAGTTGAAGAATAAAAAACTTCACATTTACTGAGATTGCACAGTTAAAGTAAGGACAAAACTTGGTCCTTGGGTTTTTGATTACTCCAGTCAGAACTGGAAGAAATCTCATGCAAGACTTTTTTGTAATCTCAACATTAATTGAGAAGAAGAACAATGGTAATTTCTGTGTTTCAGCCCATCAATTGTCTTTTGCAATGGAGATGTTTACAGTGGTGTAGCAAGAGAACTTAATACGAACAGAAGGGACTAGGAGGACACACTTGTGAAAGGATTTCTTCTAGAGTGGTTTCCTACGGAAATGATGCTTATATAATCACACTGTATTTATCTTACGATAACAAGTCTGTTGTAATATCTTTTGAATGGGTTGTACTATTACCAACACTTCTGACAGCACTAGGGTTTTCTAAATAAATTTAATTAAATTTCTTAAAAATAAGATTCATAAAAGAAAGACATTAATAATCCTCGCATTGAAGGAAAGGCTGCAGTCTGAACATATTCCTTACCAGAAACAAGCTAATTACATGTGAAAAATACCTTCAAACACTGAGACCATCACAAAATGTCATTTCTTTCTGAGTGTCAAAATATGCCAGAAGACACAAGTCTTTGGGAAATTAAGTTACAGAGCTCAATAAACTGCATGGTTTCTTTTTTTTTTTTTTTTATACAATCCATCATAAGAGAGCTATTAATTAGCTGTGAAAACATACATTCTCATATATCTTCTCTTAGTGTCACTAATTGTTAGTTTATTTATGAAAACATCCTTTCTCTGATTCCCAAGTTCTGATGAGAAAAAGATTTTCAGGACAAAATTCCTCCTCAAATGACACCAGTTCCTGTAACAGTAGCTTCTAGTTGTTGCAGATGATTTTATTTCAAGTAACAGTTGATCATGTCAAATAAACAAATACAATGTTAAATATCACCTTCATTTCTTTAACTTTTTATATTTTTAAGGATTAATAAAACTCATCTTACAGCTTCCTCTGTGAAAGTAGACATCAAACAGCTTGAGGAAGTATTACATGAAAGGCAAAGAAAGTAATTTTGTCAGTCAGCTTCAGCTAAAGGCGCTTCAGGACAAAGCAGTCAATGATAGGTTCAGTAAGAAGAGTAAAATAAGGGATATCCTTACTTTCACTGCAGTTTTCTTCATCACTTCCATCTTTACAGTCATTATCTCCATCACACTGGAATGCACTAGGAATGCACTGCCCATTTCTGCATTCTACCAGACCCTGACTATGACACGCTAGAGAGAGAAAAAAAGAAGATATTCTGATCAGCTTCAGTTAACAAATGTCTTAATTATTTTTTAACAACATCTTGATATTATTTTAGGAGGAGCTGATAACGCTGATCTACACTGAAGGTCGCTAGACATTTTTCATTGTTTTCAATAGCCTACACCTATGCTGATCTTTAACAATAGGGACTGAAACTATGTGTCAGGTGTTAGCAATGTCAGGTATTAGCAGCAGGCTGAGATGTAGGTTCAGCTTTTCCAAGAAAAAGACCACATCATTTGTACTCATATAAAAACTGTCAAATTTTGTTTGCCCACTTACTTACATTGCTTTGTTCAGGTTAGGTTCTTAGATTTCAGGGAAAATTGTTGCAAGGTCAAGCACTGAATGGTGGCAAGTACCAAAGCAGCATAAGCAAACGTCTTATGAGAACCTTAATTACTTTGAAACATATACTACTTCTCCAAGACTTGATTTTTCAGCCTCAGCAATGTTCTAGTATGGTTGTTTTGCAGATAAGAACCATCATCACTGGAGCAGAGTGAAGCCCAAACTCTGACACAGTGTGGCAATTGCACACAGACACATCACAAAGCTGTCACAAACTCAGGATGCTTCCAGTTTAAGAGGTTATATTCATTCATTCATTACTCTTTAACAGGAACATTACAATGAGCAACAAGCTAATTCTGTAATTAACAAGAAGCTAAACCACAAGACAATGCTGGTACATCACAACAATGGCAACAAATATTTCATTTGCTTCAGCTGTCTACCAGCGCCAAGTGCGAACTGCTGAAATCAAATAAACTTAGTTTTCCTTTTCAAGTAATAAGTAGGATACTGCTTAACTTACATTTTGTTTCTTATTTTTAAAGAAAGAAAAAAAGTAATTTAGAGAGTAAGGGAACTTACAGCAATTGATTTCATCTGATTTGTCTGTACAGTCATGGTCACCATCACACACCCAATCAGCTGTTATACATCTCCCATCTCCACACTGATGATGTGTCACTGGATTGCAATCTAAATAAAATGCAAATTTGAGGAAAAAAAATAATTACAAGTTATCACTCATATAATTTATATTATTGATCAATTGTTCTGTGCCTATAAGCTAATCATTCTTACTAACAAGCCATTTTACATTAGCAAATTACTATAAGAGATTTTCTGTACCTGTAGATTTTTTTTTTCAAATGGTAGTTACATGTGCTCTCAGTTCTATTGTCCATATAGATAGTGATGCACTCGTTCCTTCTCTCATGTGCACTGTTGTTTCCATGTGCAAATAAACAAGCTTCTAACATTTATGTGGATTAAAAGATCTGGCTTCCCATGTCATGGAATGATTCTCAGTTAGGCAGATGCCCTTGAGAAAATCACTCCCTACATTTATCTTTTTACTAAGAAGTAAAAAACCCCAGTGTTTTCCAACTGCCAGATTCAGTACTTAATCAGAAACTGTGTTTTTTGCATACACTCAGAATTTTTCATAAGAATGATCTACAAAGAAACTACTCCAATTTTCATCTTATTCTTTCTGCCCAAATACTTCCACAAAGAAAGAAAAACATTCTCTTGAGCAGAACTGACTTTACACCAAACTAAATAGGGAGCACAGACACAGTTTAATCTGCCACAGTTTCCACTGTGAAACCCATTTATAGCCTGTGCAAAAAGTTAGATCTTAAAATTTATATAGAAAAAAAACTATCACAATATTGGAATAGTAGGAGTCAGATTAATGTTTAGAGAACATTAATCAAAGATGGTTTATGAAAAAAACACAAAACAATTCAAACTGACAAAACTTAGTTAGAGTAAGTTTAATTTGGAGAAGAAACATAAAACAAATCTCTAGAAAAAAATGTGCCTTGATTTTCAGTTTTGAAGTTCTCTGTGCTTTTCCTTAGAAAAGAAAAAAAAGTGATAAATAATATTTTAATTTTTAAAGAATTATTTTAGAGCACTTAATTTTTCTCAGGTGTACTACCACAAGTTAGAAAAAACACAGCTTTCAAAGTTTTCCAGGGTTCACAGATGAAGATTATTCTTTTTTTATGGCAAAATTTTGTTTTCCTGTGAAAGTTAACTGTAGGTAGAAAGACAGATATAAGGAGGCAGAACATAAAAAAATGATTGAAAACAGAATTTGAAAGAAACAGAATTTGACCATCAAAACATACAAAATCACCATAAAGCTTATGAAAAAAAGAGTTCAGTTATAAAACAGTTGGCATCTCCATTGTGTAGCCTCCTATGGTTTGCTCTAATCTGAGTTAAATTCAGCCAAGTTAGCAAGAAAGCAACCATAACATCTTGAATTAATTTCAAACAAATTACAAATCAGAATATTCCAACAAAATACCACTAGCTTCAAAATTTGGATTAACCCAGGACTCTCCTTTAAGTTTTTTCAAATTGCATATAGAATTTGTGAGCTATTTTTACTTTGCCCCAAAAGAATAACAGCAAGGTATATTAAACTTTTAGTAGTTTAAGGAAAAAGATTGCTGGCTTAGGCATTGCTTCTCTCTTAAAGACTTTAGAAAAGCATAAAACTTCCATTTACCACAGTTTTGTTCATCGCTAAGGTCTCCACAGTCATCGTATCCATCACAAACAAAGGTATAATTTAGGCACTTTCCTGTGTTGCAGCGAAATACATCATCACTGCAGTCTACAAAACAAATTTTTGTAAAATGTTAACATGACATTGGAATATTCATATAAACTATGAACACTGGAATGTCTTGACTAAAACAAGATTAGCTAAAGATACCCTACAATTCACAGGTCAGCATCAATAGCGTGTACCAGCTTCTTAGAATCTAATACGGCAGAACAAGAAAAATCAAAAGCTATTTTTAGACACTTTTACTATGCTCCTAGCACTTGCTTTTTTGATCAATACCATGAGAAGAAAGTGGTCTGGTTAGAGATATGGACCAAAATGCTTAATTCATTCATGCACATAAGTTCTCAAGAAAGACTGTGGGTTTTATCAGCTAGATTACTAGGACAGTCTTAAGCACCTGATGTGGCTACCAGGTGGTATTGAAGCTTGTACCAGGAAAATAAAGATCCACAGACCCTGCTTTTGAGGCTGCTTTTGATCTTACAATGGTTTCAAATGAGCCTCATGCTTTACAAAGTTTTGAGCTCTGAATTTGGCCTGACGCTGTCTCGTCAAGGAACTCTTAGCACTGTCAGCCCTAAGTGGGTTTAGCCTTTCCATGTCTGAGAATTCATTAAGGCCTTGACAAATAGTTTATTGAATAATATCAGGCTCAATAAAACCATGGAATCTACACTGTAGTTAGGAAGGGAGGGAGAAAAGAAATCAGGGTTGTTGGTCTCTGGTCTCATTAGTAATACCTCTTGATTACAAAGACACAGCTGGGAAGTGGGTGACCTCGTTTCATTGCCTTCCTCTAGGCTTTTACTTCACATCTGGCTTTTCCAGGGAGAATGCCAGGATACAGAACAGCTGCACGGACAATCCCTCCTTCCTGTTGAGGCTATGCCACTGGAACCAAAGAATTTCTTTGTGCCCTTTCTTACTAGGCTATGTGGACATATTAAATGAGCTCTTTCCCAAACAACATACAGAAAGAAGTCCAAGAGCAGGGACTGGAACATAAGTCTCTCCCACTGAGATGCTCAGCCACCACACAACAGAATCACGCTACCCCTTGCTTATCCTCTCTTGGTGTATGACTCCTGTGTTCATGATTGCACAGGGGTCCCACTCTGAAAGAAGAGTGTCCTTCCAAGTATGTTACACGCGGATAGGTGCAACACTCCCAGAAGGTGCAGTGGGGTATCTACGCCTCCAGATCAATGTCAGCCCAGTGCTCCACCTCCTAGGTGAGTGCTCTAAGTTTTTCAAGGTTTTACCAAACTCAACTCTAGAACTTCAACATGAATCACTTCTTCCCCTTTCTCTACATAAGTATTCATGTTTTCTACAAGTTTCACATCATCTCTACAAAGTCAAAACAGAATTTGTAGCACAATGCTTTAGGACGAAGTGAAATAATAAAGCTGACCCATGAGCTTTGTAGTCAATTTAGCTTTAAAAGAACAAAAGCCATGAAAGAGTAAATAACAAAAACCTGGAACTAAATGAAAATATTTAAGTTCTAGTTTCATGTAAGCAGAACAATAGCCAGCTGAGATTAAAATCCTAAACATTTTTATGCATGCAACAGCATGAAGTACTCTGGCAACCTTTAGCCTTATTAATCAGTTTGGAAGTGACAGTTTCTACATTTCCATTGCTCCTCATGCAAATGAAATAAAGCTCTCTTTTTCTATGGTGTTTTCTCTGTATAACTTTATTGTTTCATTTCCATCCATATTCCCTTTCCTGTTTACATTTATACATCTGCAACTGCAGCAGTGTCCTTTAGGGTATGGCAGCTCTCAGGCCCACACAGACAGGGCAAACCGAAAGAATACCAAATTCCTTGCAAGGAAATAAGTGTCACTTGATGAAAATCTAACAATCAACATATGTTTCCTTCAAAATATTGGCAACAATATATAGTATAAGGCAACTACTTACTTCCATCAGAATAAGATGGGAACTTTGCAGCTTCCACTTGTAAGAGGCTCAACTTAAGTTTTTTAATAATGAGAAAAGCCTATTTTTCATAAAATTAAACACAAATTCCTACTCTATACCCCACTAAACACAAACAGTGCCTGGTCAGTCTGCATTCAGCAACCCTTCGACCCTTCGATGTCTGCTCCTGTGTATCCTGTTTTCACCACCTCACTACTGCATCATGTGTCCTGACCGTGTATCACCTCAGCCCAACACTCAGATATCATTTTAAGAATCCTACATTTTAAAGAGGTATGTTTAAAAATACACGTGTCACCTCAGTGTACAAATTCTGCCATTTCTAGGAGTAAGACTTTGATTCAACAAGATACTCTATTCTGGAGTGTGGCATGTGGTGGCAAATGTGTGTAAACATTTTTCTTTTGTGTTTTATTACTAAATGGTCTTCATCTTCTTCACACTTTTCAAAAGACAAGTAGGACTGACAAAGTCACAGGAGGAGGAAGAGGAAGCGAGTGTACGTGTTTTAGGGAGGTGTGTGCATAAGTGCAACCAGTGGGAAGTAAGAGAGCCTGTTGCATTTGGTATGTTACATGTAACGCTTGCTCATCAGGGTGCTTCTGATCGCTCAAGGTTTTGGCACTGATAATCTATGCACGTGTAGCTTCTTTCCGGTTCATACTCCTCTGTGATAGCTGGCTGAGCTGAATTCTGATTCCTCAACTGGTACGTTCCATTGCACAAAAACTGGGCAAATGGTATAACCAACATGATGAAATCCTAAATATCAGTTTTCAGCTGCAGCTGTGTAAAAAAGTGACACTGCTAAGTAAATTAAACTACGCTTTTTTAAAAAAGGGCCGGATTCTGCTAAAGCCTAATTACTGCTGCGTACTTATTAAGGCCAATGAAAGGGGAGAAGACTGCATGTCAAGAGCCAGGAATAGGAAGGTGCAGAATCCTGAAAGGAGATTCTAGGAAGAACAATTAATAAGAAAAAGTTTAAAAGCAGAGATTTCTAGATTATGCAATATAGATCATTTCAATATTAAAAGCAAGGAGGCACAGCTGTAGGATTCACTCATGTAACTTTAGACATCTACATAATTTAATTTCTAAAGCACAGAGCCCATTTAAATGATCTGCTTGAAATCAAACAAATCATGCATCTGAAGCGCTGTTTCTCTCAGCTGATTCTCTCTCAGTTTAGACATTTAGCTCAGAAAAAGTCACCTGCACAGAGACAAACAACTACCTCCATCATGTATGGAGCTTCATAACTGAAAAGTAGAGACAGTTAACCAAGCTGGTTTTTATTTATATGTTTGGTTATTTATTTTCTAAACATAACAATTTATTTATATAAATACAATGAGATATTTATTTATTTATTCATTTGTCTTATATAAAACAAAAATAAGAAGTCTTGTATTTTGGGACTGCACATGGGGGAAGCTTCAAGAACCTGGACATCCCAGGAGAATGTCTCTAGATACATTTACATATTTTTTTATCTAGAATTATGAACCAAACGTGATTGAGCAGTACCTTTCAGACCGAAGGTATGAGGTGATTGAACTTAATCTCTTGTCGCCTCATACTGTCATTGACAGAGCTGATCACAACATTACAAGCACAAATCAATACATCCCCCCATTTTATTGGAATTGGCATTGAAACAACAAACAAGCAAGCTGCTCTGCTATTACCACAGCTATCTTCAACAAAATAGGGGGAAGAAATGTAGATGGATAGAAAAAAATAAGATTAGTATGAATTAAATATGAAAGGAAATATGTGTGTGAATGAAAACATCATAAGCCAGACAAGAACAAGAATTTAAAAGAATGTTGTATGTTAATTATTACAGAGCACTCTAAGCAGGACGTCATTTAAATGATCAGAGAGCAAGAAGATGAATAACAACCTGACCTGAAGATAAGAAAACAAGAATCACAGAATCAGACACACTTATGTTGGAAAAGACCCTTAAGATCATCCAGTCCAACTATTAACTTAAACCACTAAACCATGTATCTAAGCATCTGATTTACATGATACCTCCACGGATGGTGGCTCAACTAATTCCTCCTTGAGAAGCCTGTTGTAGTGCTTGACAACCTTTCCTGTGAAGAAATTTTTCTGAATTTCCAACCTGAACCCTGGCACAACTCGAGGCCATTTTCTCTTGTCCTATCACTTGTTACTTGGAAGAAGAGGTTGACCCCTACCTCGCTAGAACCTCCTTTCAGGTAGTTGTGGAAGGTGATAAGATTTCCCCTCTATCTGTTTCTTCTCCAGGCTAAACGCCCCCAGCTCCCTCAGCCTCTCCTCATAAGCCCTGTGCTCTAGACACTTCACCAGCTTTCTTGCCCTTCTTTGGATATGCTCAAGCACCTCGGTATCTTTCTTGTAGTGAGAGGCCCAAAACTGAACATAACACGCAAGCTGTGGTCTCACCAATGCTGAGTACAGGGGCACAATCACTTCCCTAGTCCTGCTGGCCACAATATTTTTGATACAGGCCAGGATGCTGCTGGAGTTCTTGGCCATCTGAGCACACTGCTGGCCTATATTCATCCATCTGTCAATGAACATCCCAAGTCCTTATCTGCCAGGCAGCTTTCCAGCCACTGTTCCCCAAGCCTGCAGCAATGCACGGTGTTGTTGTCGCTCAAGTGCAGGACCCAGCCCTTGGTCTTGTTGAACCTCATACAGTTGGCCTCAGCTCACTGGTTTAGCCTGTCCAGATCCCTCTGTAGAGCCTCCTACCCTCAAGCAGATCAACAATTCCACCCAACTTGGTGTTGTCTGCAAACATACTAAGGACTCATTCAATCCCAAAGATCAATAACAACCCTGGAGACACAAGAAAAGCAAAAAAATTAAGGTCAGAATATTTTTTTAAAAATACTCAATCCCTAAGTCTGTAAAATGCTTGTCAGAAGAGTAAATAATCACTGCCAACCAAAAAGAAAACAAGATATTATAAGGACTTAAAGGCCAGTGTTTTTCACTGTCAAAAACAAAGTGATTCTGGCCAAACCACTTGTGTGCACACTAGGGATGAGAATTAAATCAGTGGGATTGAGTGTGAGTGAAAAAAGCCTCATTCAGGATACATATGGCCCTTCTTCTCAGTGAGGTCATCCATTAAGTTTTATTACATTAATTTCTGACAGAAACAATTATTAATTTGAGATTATATTGCAATTTCTAAAGTTCAAAACCTTACTGTAATTATTTAGCAGCATTTTTGCCTTCCTCATTCTTGTATCAGGAAATGTAATAGTAGTCATTCTTAGGTGACATATACAAAATGTTTAAATGCAAATCCAAAGAGGACTATTTTAATTAAAATTGTAAAGCATACGTTAGGAACATTCAGAAGCCCTGACAGAATTAAATCTGGCTGTGGACATCAAGGGTAACATGAAAAACTTCTATAGGTGCATCAGTGATAAAAGGAAGACTAGGATCTACCTATCAACCTGACCTAGTTGAAGATGTTGCTGGTCACTACAGGGCAGGTTGGTCTAGACGACTTTTAAACGTTCCTTTCAACTCAAACCACTCTGTGATTCTATGAGGTTATCATAGAACTCTATGCTTCTATAAGGTTATCTAAGAAGGTTATCAGGACCAGTCGATTTACCAAGGGGAAATCATGCTTGACTAATCTAATAACTTTCTACAATGTGGTGACTGAATGGGTAGATGCAGGGAGACCAGCTGATGGAGTCTACCTTGACATTAGCAAGGCATCTGACACAATCCCCCATAACATCCACCTGAGCAAGCTCAGGAAATATGAGCTAGAGGAACAGGCAGTGAGGTGGGTCGAGAACTGGCTGCACAATAGAGCACAACAAGTGGTGCTCAATGGCGCCAAGTCCAGCTGGAGACCTGTAACTAGTGGAGTCCCCCAGGGATCAGTGCTGGGTCCAGTCCAGTTCGACATCTTCATTAATGACCTCAATGATGGTACAGAGTGTCTTCTCAGCAAGTTTGCTGATGACACAAAGCTGGGAGGTTTGGCTGATACACCTGAAGGCTGTGCAGCCATTCAGTGAGATTTGGACAGACTGGAGAGCTGGGCCAGGAGGAACCTAATGAGCTTCAACAAGAATAAGTGCAGAGTCGTGCGCCTGGGCAGGAGTAATAAAATGCATCAGTACAGGTTAGGAGGTGATCTTCTAGAGAGCAGCCCCATGGAGAGGGACCTTGGAGACCACCTCAACATGAGGAAGAACTTCTTTACTCTAAGGGTCACAGAGCACTGGAACAGGCTCCCCAGGGAGGTTGTGGAGTCTCCTACCTTGAAGACTTTTAAAACTCATCTGGATGTGTTCCTGTGTGACCTGCCCTAAACAAGACAGTCCTGCTCTTGCAGGGGTGTTGGACTTGTCCTTTCCAACCCCTTACATTATGTGCTTCTGTGAGGTGGCTTAAGAATCTGAGAGGGACAAGGACTGCAGGAAACACAGCATCTTTTATCAGACGAGCTTTCAGGCAAGTAAGTTCTCCTTTGGTTTTGCCATTTCTGCTACGTAATTCAAGATCTTATTTGACTTCCATCTCCTTTCCTTTCCTTTCCTTTAGCTTACTTTATAAACTGAAGTTAACACTGATAGGAAAAATTCATAAACTAAAACATGCAATAGTTTCTATGTAACAGAAATTCTAGCAACCTGCATTAAATAAATTGCAGACTATTAAAGGAAAATCAAGCTCTGGCCTCACTCATTTTGAGACCAGGAGGAAATCGCAGCCATTATTTATTCCTTGGAGTATCCCTGACAAAATCTATCAGCAACTTCTTTAAAAGCAGCTTTGTGATTGCCCAGGCTCTTAAATCACTAATAAGAACAAATCTTTTGAGGTGAGTCTAAACTGCACAGCCTGGAACTCAGCCCCCAGTCTGACATTTTCCAAAGTCTGAACACACACCACTGTTTCATGGCATTATATCATAGTGTAATCCCTATTTAGTCATTTTTCCACATTTTCCTTTTTTCTTTCTTCTTTTTTTGCTTTTCATTGTTTTCCTACATTTTCCTTTAGAAATGAGGATCTCTAAATATATACACTACCACAGAGAAATAAATAAGAAATTCAGATGTATATTAATTTTTCTTTTCTACTTCACAATATACCGTGACTTATTTAAATAAACAACATCCAGGGTTGAGGCCAAGAGAACATATGGATAGTTCAGCATCTTCTGTAAAATCAATGCCAAGGACTAGGAAAAAGATACAATAGAGTTCAGTTTATTATCAGGAATGCTCTTCTGATGCATGTTATTGATCCTTTAAAAAAAAAAAATGCCCCCAAATGCTTCTAGTTTCCACATGTCTCCTTGCAGAAATCTTAGAATCTGCTTCCAGGCATAAAATCTGATGGAGGTAAAACATGTCTTGCGGCTAGAGCGAGCAAAGGTAAGCACATCCAACGGCAACAGAGACAGTACAAATGTCAATATATGCAAAGACTACGCAAAGTTCCTGTTCTGTACCAACAGCCTTCTTTAGATTTTAAGTTTCCCTGAACAGATTTAGTGCTTCAACGGCAAGTAAAAGAAGTAACCGCAAGGTTTAAGAAACTTACTGCAATGGACCTCATCACTCCAATCATCACAGTCATTGTAGCCGTTACACTGCAGTTTCCCTGGGATGCAGATCCCACTGGCACACAAGAAACTCTCCTCTCCTCCACACAGTGCTGGAAAAAAAGAAAAGAATGCCTCTTAAACTTTTCAGGGTAAGAAGAAATAAACAGAAATGAAAGATAGTTAGAACAATGAGTCTTAAACTGATGAACTTCAGCAACAAACCCCAAATTAAGCAAATCCAAGCAAGTACAAAGTGGCATTTTCATCTGACTTCTGTTATTTCAAAAATAGGTGTCTTGGCCGAGTTAATAGTGAGCTTCAATTCTACCATTAACTCTAAAAACTAGGTGTACAGAGTAACTGTTAAAAATTGACTGTAGGATGGGATTAAACAAGCTCTTTTTTTACCATTAAATAGATGCATTGGGATAAATGCCAAACTAAAGTTAAAACAGATGGATTTTCCCAGCCTAGGCATCCAGGCAAAAGATTACCAGGTTGAGACTTAACAGTGTGATAGCACAGACACTTTTCAAGGGGGAAAGATTCCTCAAACATTCTTATAACTCCCTGAACACTAGAAGACAATCATTGCTATTTGATATATGGCAAAAGGATGGGTTTTGTCTAAAGAGACAAAAAAAATAACCCAAACCCCTAGAATTTTAGGTATCTCACTGGAGATACCTTACAGAGCTATCATGTCCAGAGGGAGGGAACTCATAACACCTTCCCACTCAAGTCCTCCAAGGCACTTAAAGTGCTGCAGATCATAATTTACGTTTTAGTCCATGCAACAGAGACCAAACTTCAAAGCCTTTGTTTTAAAAAACACTGCCTGAGAAAAATCCTTGTAAAGCAT